ACACACACACACACACACACACACACACACACTAACGCTAAGAGTTTTGGCTTTGCAAGTATCAGTACTCCTTTAATACTGCAGGATCGAGCCAAGCCAGACTGTACTCTTCCCGCGTGGATTTTTGGGCAGGAGCGATTTCTGTCCTTTAGGTGGTATTGTAGGGCTACAAGGTGGAAAAAGTTTCACCTTCATGTCCAAACCTTCTTGTTAAGCCTCAGTGTTTTGCAAGAGTAATCCAGAAGCTTTTACAAAATTGTCTAACTGCAACTGTCGGAGTAAAGTGAAGGTGCATAGCAAAATGCCTTTAAGTTGTAGCCGCTCCTTAAAGTCTTTACATCGCGTCGCTGGAATTTCGAATTTACGCCAATACTCACTGCTTCGCTTCGTCACGAGACGGATAGGGGTACTGCACGACGATCAGTAAACGCAAAGTTCCACACCTCAGCGGAGACAGTCAATTGTAAATTTTCGATCCCTTTCAAACGAATTTTGCTTGATCTAAAGACAGATTCGACCATTGTGGTACTTGTGGAGAGGAAAAGATCGGCGCTCGCAGAGTGAAGTGGAAAGAGGTCAACGACGTTTCAGAATAAAATATAAGAAGCTTGAAAACAGTTTAATATAATTTCTATATATTTTCTGATTCTTATAATAATATAATTTTTACAACAACAACAACAAGAAAAAAAGAAAGAAATTTGAAATTCAACTTGACTCACGCACACATCCGAGTTATCTAAAGGTTATATGGCATATAGAAATTTGTCTTTTACTTATAAAGAAACTTATACAAATGGAGTTTCTTTACATTTCCTTTTTGCTTATATTTTTTTCATCTGGATGTTTCGTTTCGCTCTTCCCCATTCCGATCTATTGTGCGTCTGGGTGAGAAATGCTCTCTATGTGAAAACAAATTGGACTTGGACACTGCGGAAGGAAAATGTATTTTTTAGGAGAGTGTGTGAATAAGCTTCTATTGTACGTAAGCAAATACTTGTTTTGAGCCGTTATTTTGAAATTAATATAGCTACACGCGCTCAAGGTCACTTTTTACCTGAATATATGTCAATGGGAAGTCGAACGCTGTTAGCTAAGTCATGTAACAAAAGCCTGTATAATAAATGTGTATTTCTCAACGTGAAGCTTGAGGACTAAAACAATTATTTTCAACAGTAACCACAAATTTTAATGCTTCTTTATGAATATTGTGTTATTTAAATTTGTTTTACTGCATATTTCTTTTGTTGTAGATAAAAAGTTCAACTACATCATTAAAGGGTTCAGTACAAAAGAAAATTGACTGACATATGGTGATTCAGCAAATGGTGATCCAATCATTTTAATCACTGAGTGTATACATGTAAATAAGGGTTCATATTTTTTGTGTATAAATTAGTAATCTGTTACAATTTAATATTCAATTTTTTTGGTTTGGTATTAAAATTTGTTCCTATAGTATCGTTCTTTCCATATGTGAATGTCTGTTTTTATTTCAGCATTTTTCTTGTACATTCACTGATAAAGTAATTATGACGTGTCCATTTAAATCAAATAATGTATTACATGCATCTTTTTCTAGAATAATACTTGCTAAATTCTCGCCTAAATAGGTACTAGACTTTTTCTTTAATTTTTTCCTATTCGGCGGATAGATTCTTACACCCTGGTTACAGTGTTTGCATATATTAGACTTAGACTAAATATTACATGACATCCGGCAGGAGATTGGATGACGAGCATTCATTCGTGCTTGACTCATTAGGATCAGGAATTTTCTTGAGTAATTAAAAACTCGAAAATATGTGACAAAGCATGTGTTCAAACTCTTCCTCTACAGAAGAGAATGGAATAATAAATAACAGGATCGGAGAAAACTTACTACAAAAGAGCTAGTATTAAAAACAACCGAAATTTTACATTTAATGAGATGTGAATAAAATTTTAGACGAATGGATTACAAAAACATGGGGAGTTATAAATAACGGGGAATGGTACAGGGAACGACCGTGTGAATAATGTTGGGTATGAGTCATATGTTTCAGGGCGCGAATCCCTATTCCCGGTTCTATTATCCAGACAAGCATTAAGAGGACAGTTTTGGCTATTCAGACAAGCGTTACAAGAGACATAAGCACAAAGGAATGACAATTTCCAAGATTCTAACGGACTGTTGGAAAAATTCAAATCACGTCATTACATGTCTTCAAAAGTGAGTGGCAAAGCCTACGATGTTGATGTGCAGGCCCTGACAATCACAAACGTCAAAAAGTAGTAATATGGTAGGGGTAAGAAAAAATTAGGTATGAAAATGCTCATTTCAATTAGAAATTCATATTCCTAAAGAACAGTAGAGTTGCTACAAAACAGGGACACGTCAGTGAGAATGTAACCTGTACCATTAGTAATAAATATTCTGAACAGTGGGGAAAATTGCTTTCAAATCCAGTAGGTAGTTCTTTTGTTTTAGTATTCATACAAACGGACGGGAGAATGTCGGTGAAGATGATGAATTGAACTAATACAAATATCAACAAGATCAATTGTTTAAGATAAAGCAATGCAATACACAACACTTGAAAAAATAGTTTCTTCCACCTTAGGTAATATGAGAACTCTGCTGAAGCTCAAGTATAATTAAAAATAAGTTCTTTTGATATATTTTATTCTCATTTAATATCATAAATATTATTAACTTTATTTTTTGGGTGCCAGGTGATAATTTATTACTTACAATTAATTTAAAAAAGTACTAGGGTTGTACTATTTTAAAAATTTAAATGACTCTGTCGACCTATTATTAATAATTATTATTTTATTTTAACGTTTTAATTTTTCTTGAGTTGCTCAGTATAACGAAACCAACATTAAATCATTGTTAGCATTTTGAGACAATCTTTCATGTCGCATTAGTACAGATTATTAATTTGATAAAAAATAATTGAATGGTCATTTGGACTTTGCGTTCACTTCAAAACGTTTCTGAATGAGCGTCGACGCGCATTGCACGCGCTGTGTTTGTGAAACAAGTGCACGTGCGCGGACAAAGATTCTGCTTGCATATTATACACACTATTCTTCGAAATTTAATGGCATGTTTTTACAGTATTTTTCGAAAATATCAAATAGAACTTTTGTTGCAATAGTACCACTCAATATTTGGATTTAATATACTAATATATAATAATGATAATAATATTAATGATGATAATAATATTAAT